TGTCTTGATTCCCAGCATCATGACAACAACTATGACAGACGACTTCGGACTAGGTGCGTTCTACTAATTCGCCCTGACAACAAGAACAAGTTGCGACAACGAGGTCAAACCACTTTTATAAATCGAAATAAGACTGCGACCATACCAGAGGCCACAACATGTTGGTCTTCATATCTGATTTCATAGTGCTAACTAGTGCTATAAAAAACCACTAGCTCATTGAACAAAAGCAAGTCTAACATGCTTCAGAAAATGCTTCACATAGTATGCTAACATCCAACATGAAACTCATGGAGACTCGCGTTACTGAGTTGATCATTTGGTATAAAATAATAAATAAAGAATAAGATAGAAAACGATAGAGCGTATTGTGAAAGCCAAACAAGGTGTAAGAAAAAAAAGTGTTAGCCCATGATTACACAAAAGGCTGATATAAACATGGTAAAAGAGAAAAGATACGACTCGTATTTCAACTGCCATCCCTGAAATAACCGTTTAGAATTTATGAGCTTGAATTTTAAACTATGAATTTGGATTATTTATCAATGTGTGTGATCTGATATAAGAACTTAGTTTCAAAACATATTTAAACAGGATATGCGCGATTTGAAATATAAATTCTAAATACATTATCATATATCTGATTCAGTAGAGTTGAGTAGGTAAATTGGATGTAAGGAATCTATAGTTATGTTTTTTACATCAGATTGGCCATACCCTTCATGCAGATGTAAACATTAAGATAGATAGATATAAAGATGAAAAACCAAATAAATACAAAAAATGCCCACCTGAACGATCCAAAAATTGAGTTATCTCTCTGTGTGTCTAGCGACATCAGATCAGGAACACCATGCCTTCGATTAGTGGTTTGGGAAGATAATAAACTTGATTGCTCCATACTATGTTCAGACGCTTCTTGTCCAAATGACAGCTTTTCCGCGCGTGTAGCTAAAGATTGATGAACCGGTTGAAAAAAATTGTGGCGACGGGTGGGAGTGTGTAATGACATGCGATCAGCACATGTTTCGACCAGCTGACTTGAGGCACCGGGTTGACCATGCACACGAATCACATCTTGCTCAAGGGCAGAAGTTACAGCAGCAGCTGCTGCTGCAGCCACGGCGGTCATGG